TAATTAAGCACCCTTTTTACTTTATTTGCCCAGAGATTAGCCAGGGCCTAGCAAGCCTAGCCACAAAAGCCTAGCAAGTGATCAAGTATTGGCTCTAAAGGGCTGCCAGCTGCAGCTTCCTTCCTAAAGGTGAATGCACCTTAGACAGTGTAGCAGAGCTGGAGGCTGCAGTCAGGAAGTAGGAGGATGGGCCTTGTGAGAGCCAAAACTTTGGCTTAAGAGGCCAGGGTATAGCCCTAGCAGGTGCGGCTCTGTTGGGTGGAGTGCCGCCCTATACACCAAAAGATTAGGGGTTTGATTACTGGTCAGAGCACTGAAAAAAAAAAAGTCCAGGATACAGATTTGCAAATTATAGCCTCTTGAAACAGTGGCTGGGGCCATATATGAAATAACTTCTATAATTTTCATGTGTACCTGGTAGGAAATAGTCACAAATTTCAAATACCCGAGGAACTGAAGATTTTCCGCCAAAGGCCTACTTCTCCTTTTGAAAAGTGCTAGGACTTGGAGGCCCAGGCAACATAGCTTTGAAGATCACAGCTTTAGCCGAAAGGGGACAGAAATGAGTTAGGAAAACTGGAAAGTTACTTAAAACCATTATGTCCATTTATCAAATAACCCCTGCCTTCCCTACCTTATGAGAATAACTCTGACAGTAATTGTTTATAAATGTTGGCTATTGTATACCAGGCACTGTCCCAGGAGTGATACATGTATGACACCCAATCCCATGTTACAGACAAGGGAACCGATTCACAGAAGTTAAAGAACTTGCTCAAGGCATATAGCGAGGGTCTGGATTCAAAACTGGGCAGCTTGGCTATACAGATAATATATATTTTAACTATTATTTATAATGCTGTAAAGAATATAACAAAAACATGCATGAGAAAGTATTTTACTTTGGAAAGTTAAAGGTGCTCTAAGCAGCAGCTGAATGAAGTTCTGGAGGAAGAGCCTGATCTAGACAGCAAGTACGTCTACATAATGGCTGTTCACAAACAACTTCCCCCAAAAGACGTGAAAATCTGATCCTTGCCTGTTTCTCTCCAGTGCTGACTGCAGCCTATCATAGTGCCCTAGATAAAGTGAAGCCTTTGACAAGTGAAAAGGGCAGAACTCTGCAGGCCAGGTGCCTCACACAGGGCGTGGCACCCAGGTGATGAATAAATAGTGTTGGCCGAATTGAACACCTTCTAATCAAAGGCAATCTGAAGTGTGATCCTCATATTTCACAAAATGGCTTGAATATAATTTAGAATGTCAAAACAGGAAGGGGCATGTAGCAAGTTATGAAAATTAAAGAGAAATGGGGTATAAGTGAAATATGAAACCTGTAAAATTCAAAATAAAAAACCTGGTTATATGTCCTTGAAATCCTCTTTCCAAACTTAGCAGGGAAATGGGAGGGATGAGCTTTTGAGATGGACAAGCCAATTCTTTAACAATAAAATACCTCTCATTGTGTTGCACATATTTGCTATAGCATATTGTTCTGAATCAGCTGCTTAATATACCAGATGTTTTTGTTTAAAGGCTTAGTTTACCTTACATTATTCGTTAACAACCCCTACACTTTTTAGCAGAAATAAAATAAGATTTTCTATCACTTTAGACAACAAAATGGGTCCCTTATGACAAGTTGGGCTTATATCACTGGCATCAGATCTAATGAAACATTAGATTCACCTTATGTTCAACAAAGTGTTGTTTGGCTTGCCTGTAATTTCCAACCAATATCTAAGGACCTAATGAATATTGCAGGTCTTCCCATAATTCCCCAGAATTTAAGGAGTAATGGGGTTAATCCACGACCTGGCATGACGCAAATCTACCCAGGCAAAGAACCTTCTACGAAGACCCATGTGAGAAGCAGTGGGATATGACAAGCAAGAGCTCAGCTGGGCCTCCATGCAGCCCTTTATAAAAATTTGAAGCAGTTTAAAACTGCCTGTGTTTAATTGCCATAAAGAGGACAATAACTCGGTTTTTTAGGACAGTCATCCCTTGGTATTCAAGAGTCACTGGTTCTAGGACCTGCCCCCTCCTGCCCAGACACCAAAACCTGTGGATGTTCAAGTCCCTTACATAAAATGTAGTAGTACTTGCATATAACCAATTTATGTCCTCCTGTATACTTTAAATCATCTCTAAATTACCTATAATGCCTAATACAATGGAATGATATAGAATAATTGTTTTACTGTCTTATTTAGTGAATAATGATGAGAAAAGTCTATATGTGTTGAATATAGATGCAACGATAGTCGGCCTAACTACATAGCACACACCCACAACAATGTAACACTTTTGACCAGAGACTGGGTCCACAGGCTGGTGCAGAACCCATGGACACAGAGGGCCGGCTGTATGACACTCTCACTCAGTCTTTCTTTTCACACATCTGTAAAATGTTGCCCATACTACCTACTTGTAGAACTGACTCTATAAGACTACTTGGTATTGACTTTAAGAGCAGTGTGAAAAGATGTCCACACCATCTTGGGATTAGGAAAATAGGAAAAACAGACCTAAAAGCAGCAGTGGGTTTGCTAGGATAGGCTCCCAAAAAGCAAATGCTGACCTGATTGATGTGTGACCTACAACATGAGATCATGGCTATAAGCTAATGTTCTCTCTCTCTCTCAAAGAGTTACCTCTAGGCATTCATTTACACAATGGAGGTTTATATAAATGCCTCCTATACAGGATATCCCAAAGTTTTTAAGTTATTAGGGCTGAGGATGGGGGTGGTGAGCTGAACCCATCCTCTGCCAGTCTGACAGGGTTAGTTACACATGGTTTTGATTATTATCAGTTAAATGTGCAGCCACAAGATTAAAAGAAACATTTTAAAGGATTAATTAGTGAACCCTTGAAAAATTAAATTAAGGGCCTGTGTTGAAACAGCCAAAAGGAAACTAACACAGCATCGCAGCAACAGTGCTTGGAGTGCACTCAGATGGAAACGCTTGGGCTGGAAATACTCGTTTAGAAAAAGACCTACATCATTCCACCCTCCTTCATCAAGTAATCCAAGCCATCTGAAGTCCTCAAGGTCTAACCAAGAGAGATGTATTTTATTAAAGCCTCTCTCAGCTTGAACTAGATCATATCCTTGGGAATAAATAAATGTTATTCAGTGAACAAGTAGAAGAGATTCTCGATTACTACTACAGTTCCTTTGTGTAGACTGATTCTAGGTTAATGCAAAAAGCTCAAAAAAGGACATCGGATAAGGGAAAAGGCTTTATTATTCAGGATCAGCTCAGAGTCTGGCACTGACACTGACACATAACAGGGATAATTATCTCATTACATTTGACCTTTGGCACCCATTTGAAGTACTAGTTTCCAAGAGAGACAGGTTATATCCAGCAGATTCTCAGCAACTTCTGACAGCCACATTTACCCCAATTTCACCCAGTAGAGTTGTCAGAAGATATGCAGGAATACAAAGAACAAAATCATCTACTTTAGGGATCTTTTTCTTTTTCAAGGATTATTTTCCCTAGTGGCTTTCAAATCAAGAGAAAGATAGCTAGCATTATTGGCAAGGATTCATCATAAATAACACTGTCCCCCAGTCTAACACTCAAAATTCAAAAGGCAAATATATGTAGAGTTCCTAAATGTTCAGCTTAACACTGTGTGTTTTGTTTTGGAACAGTAATTTTATGGCTTCCCTTTATTTTTCTCCTTGGATAAAACCAGGAGAACCCTGCCCAACTGACCTTGGCAGCTCTGGTTGTTATAAACTTAACTTATAAGAATCAAAGGAATTAAAGAGTTATCATTAAGAACAGATTTGAAAAGTATCACAAAAATATGAAGAAAGTCTACACAGTCCTCAACTATATAGATAAAATAAATCAAAGTTCATGATTGCATGGGCATTCCCTCCCAAGGACATAGCACATAGTATATGAAGCTATGAAGTTACAATGGGGGCAAATATAAAACAACGGTTCATCTCAAGATGATCAATATGTAATTGTTGATTAAGAGAAGGGATGTTCAAGATATTTTGCACATTATAACTTAGTTAGTGTATATATTCTATATTAAAAATGCATAAAAAATTCCAAGATTTTTTGACTCAGTGGTATACTAGAAGGCAATTGCTTTTTATGTATATAAAGAGAATCCAAAAAAGCAAGTTAAAGCCAAGATTTATTTTTGAGGTTCTGGATTTTCAGCTCAGAACAATCTTCTTTTATAAAACATCAATATGATATCAGTAATTTTTCTTAAAATCTGATGACTGTTTTATTTAAAGTTGCAGCACCCAGAGAACTGAGGACTGAATTCAAACCCAAGCTTCAGTATATGATTACTGAGTTTATAAACATCTCCTCTTGTAAATGGCAAAAATCACAACCTCTTATAGAACGTGATGTTGAGTTGGTAACATAGCAGATTGCTTAGCAAGAATATGGGGAACTTAAATCTCACGTGGGAGATATAGTTGGGGAAAAAAGACAAATAAGGGTTCTAGTGTTGTTCTACTTCTTCCAAAGAGTTGACTGTCTTTAAAATAAAAATGATTTTAACTAAAGGGACTATTATCATTGAATCACACGCTACATCAACATAAATGTACTTATCTGAACATCACATTTTTATACATACTAAAAAAAAACCAAAAGAAGTAGAGTGAAAAGATTATATATTTTAAATGCAAGTATATTTGCTGGAGGCAGTACAGATCCAGGGGTCTTCAGCGGCGGGCCTTCACAGACAGACCTCCTGCTCTGGCCAGCAGGTACTTTACACTGTGCATAGAAAGTCTCAGAGAAACAAGAGACAAGTCTTGTTTTTTGCCACTATATGCTGGTATGTCATTATAGCAAAGGATATGAATAATTGAAAAAGTGAAGACTACTTATTGAAAATGTGTAAAAGGATTGTCTCTAAAAATGAAAAATGGTGGCTTTCTTATAGAGCCACTTTGATGTGTTTATATATTGTTTTAATGGGCCAAAGTTCAGTTAACTTACTCAGATTAAGATCTATAATTCTGTTGACTGTTCAGGACTACAGTAGTCATCTTGAGACTTTCTGTGGAAGTAGGTACAAATTTTCCTCATGGAGCTGGGAGTAATAGTGACCTAGAAGAAGAAAGTTTAGATTTCAGACATTTTCTAAGAAAAGTCCACTTGTTACTGTAGCAAGTTACAACTAATAGATATTTTACGTTAGGATGCCTAGAAATTTGATTATTAGTCAGACAGCTTTCAGTCTCAAATACTTTTATGACCATGTCACTTTTGGTTGATTTTTACCAAATACAGTAAAAATAAGGCAGGGACTTTCACGTGAACAGAAATATTTACCAGTTAGACCTCCTAGTAGGAACCAAAGACGTTACAAAAAAACTACTATCCTCTTTGAAATGAGTAAATTACCCTCTCAAATTTAAAACGACAGGTATTCAAATGGCAGCTAACTGCCCTCTTCTGAAGTCTACATTATCACCATGTACATAAACTTAAAGAAACTTTAGCTTCAAAGACTGAAAAAATAAACCAGTGTTAAAAAAGAAGTGAGCCCAAAATGGAGTCACAGGTGCTAAGCCCCACCTCAGCAAACCAGACTAGTAATATATAACCCATTTGCAGTTTCAGCCTCTCCCAGGAGCGTAGCCTTTAACCAGTCTGGAATTTCCTGATGAATACCAGTGAGGTAATCTGCTTGATAGACCCCCTGCCTTTTCCTAAAGAAAGGGGACCTTGTCTGAAATAATTCATTCTTTCAATTTTCCTTTCCCTTCCTCCTTTCTGTCCTTGAAAGCCTTTTTCATTTTGCCCTGGCCACGTATTTTAGTTGGTTAGAGCATTGTTCTGTTATGTCAAGATTGAGGGTTCAATACCAAGCCAGGGCATATACAAAATTCAACCAATGAATGCATAAATAAGTGAAACGACAAATAGATGTTTCTGTCTCTCGAGTCAATAAAAATAATACAAAAAGCTGTTGATTCTATATAGCCCCTCAGGACTCCTTTCTATTTGCTAGATGGGATGCTGTTTGATTCATGAACTGATGAATTTTGTTTTAACACTGCAAGTATCTTGAACCAGCACACTCTCTTTTAAAATGTTCTGTAGCAAGGTCTTAGCTAAAGTTTGTGCTCTAAAATATTTCTAATTTATTACTAAAATTATGGGATAGGCGGCTTCATGATAGTAGGAGGGTGAGAGAACTGGCCTACAGTAATCCAGCTTCTACCTTTTGAAAGAGCAGATGTTGCTGGTCATGATCTCTGGATTGCATTTTAGTCATTCTACCACTTTCTCCGTAACACAGGCACGAGCTACTATGGCCTACACAGAAGTTTCCTTAACCACCTCCCCTCAACTAACAAACTGATTAACAGAAACTTCATTCCCTTTGGCTGCTGCCCATGGCTCACCTAATGCTCTCAGCTACTTCTGCCTCCATCATTATAATCAGTCATTTGATTTTTAAGGTTTATAAATCTATTTCTGTCAGCAGTTTCTGCTTTTTGAAATAATCTAACTTTAAATAGTGTATCAACTGAAAAATAAGAGCCCTGAAAAGATAAGTAAAACTAAGCTGATGTTTAAAAGAGCTAAGGGATAATCATTAAAATCTAGAAGGAGTCTGTGTTTAAATTGCTGTGCAGGTATCTAAGTTTTGCTTTACTTTAAATAATCATAAACTAATTACAAACTGGTAATCTATTTGTGGATGTTGACAATTTGTATGTAAAAAGGGAAGAAGTCTATAAAATGTGTTGCCAATGGCTTGAGGCTGGGGAAAATAAGCAAAAAGCGGCAGGGAAGAAAATGTCAAACAGAGGGGAGGAAGGTAGTTCTGAACTGATATCCTGGAGGATAGGAGGCTTTGATGAATCAGACAGCAGGGCTGAGGGGTATGGACCTTAACAGGAGTGACTTTAATGGGAGTAAATAGGGTTGCCAGATAAAAATACAGCACATACCCGGTTACATTTGAATTTCAAAAAAATAACTGTTTAGTATAAAAACTTATGCAACATCTGTCCTGTATTTTTACATGCTAAGTCTGGCAACCCTAAAATAAACAGATTTACTTAAAAGCATCCCTACTTCTGAGAAGGAATCTGTACCTGCCCTGTTCAAGTTAGGAAATGCATCCTACCACCACCGTTGACTTACTGGGCCTGGAGAAGTCTTCCCGCTCTGTCTCCTGGAATTGGGGGTCTGAGACGATGGACTTCGTGGTGATGAATTCTCAGCCTTCCGTTTGGCCGCCATGGCCAATAACCAGTTTTTGTTCTCTGGGGAGCTATTCTCTTTGCCTACCAATTCAGATCCTTCTCCACATGATCCCAAAGGAAGAGATAGCGTCCCACAGCCCTCTGAAGCATAAGGACTGGCAGGAGAAGGAGGCTCTGAGACACTCATACTGGTTCCTTCGATCTTGCTTGATTTGGTAGGACCCAGAGAGTCCTTACCAAGGTCTTCCTGGTTGCCAGTAAGGCAGCACAGATCCAAATGAAGCTTTTCAACTGGGTCATCAAGCTCAGTCACGCAGCTGCAACTCTTCACACACTTTTGTTTCACATTCTCCAGACAACTTGAGTCTAGCCTCCTCTTCACTCTATTTCTAGACTCTGAGCAAGACACTGCTTGGGATGATTTTAGGCTCACAGGAATGAGGGCTTTTCTTGGAGATGTGATCTTGGTCTCACAAGCAGTTGGAGTGATGGGTGGTGATGAAGAAGGTGTTTGGGTCATCCAGTTTCTAATGGACATCTTGAAAGATGAGGACGGCTTGGGGGAGACAGAGGAGATGGAGCCTCTTCTGCTAACGGGAGACCGGGCCTTGGCAGGAGGGGTTTTAATGGAGAATGTGGGAGTATTGGAAGGAAGAGGGAGGTCTCCAGCACAGCTCGGAGCACAGGCTGCTGAGGAAGGGGAGGAACTAGATGGACTGATCTTTACTCTGGGGGCTTTGGCAGGAGTACTCTGGCCACTTGTCACTGTTCCTATGAAAGAAAAGAGGGCCACAAAAGTCAGAAGTGAAAGCCAAAGAAAATCCCACAATCTGTGTCAAGGAAAATTATAGCTAACTTAATCACCCAGGGGTTGCGTTCCCAGATAATCGATCGTATAAATCACTTGATTCTTACCATACCCTCTTAGACTTTTCCTTCCCCTTTCCTAACTGCCAGCCTCCCAACTGTCCTACTGTAAAGCTTATACTTGTAAAAACCTATAAAATTCAGGAAAAAAAAAGATTGAAAGCATCTAGGTGAACCAATTTTAGTGTTTTTCCTATACTTGGGCATGTAATCCATGTGACTTGAACACAACCCTTTAGCTCCTCTGCCTCAGTTTCCTTATTTGTAAAATACAGTTTTTAATCTCCACAAGTATTCTGTCAAATTCTTAATGTTATCAGGCCCCATGTGGTTTTCCACTGTAATTTACACAGGGCTACAGTTCTCCACGAGCCAAAGAACATTTCGGAAATTCAATGCTTGCTCTCAGTAAAGCAAATTAAACAGTGAGTAGAACTTTTCTCTATGTGTTTTGCCCCTTGTTTATATGCAATGGCAAGTCCTTCAGGCAAATTCTTATAAACTTTATGCTTCTTCCCCCTCAGGCCTCACCAGACAACACTGTATTTTCTCACTTTCCTTCGGAAAGTTCTAGGTTTCTGAGTAGTGTTTCTGTCTTCAAATAACAAGGAAGACATCTATTTATTTCTTAGCCATAAAGTCTTTGAATTATAGCTCTGATATTTTAATTCAGTTTAATGATTAATTGCACTTTATACGCAACTGAACTTAGAATGGCCTGACATAAAAATACAATCTTTTTAGTTAGAAGATTTACTAAGTTCAGTCATTTAGTTAGTTACCCTGCACATTTTACCCTGTGCTTTTTCACTACTCAAGCAGCCTTGCCTTGAGGTAAGAGAAATTCTACCAATCGAATTGCCTAAACTTTTCTCATAAACCATATTTAGAAATGGCCAAAATGATACCATTACTTCAATAAAAATCAATACTAGAAAACCCCATTTTGTTATAATGTACAATGGAAGGGGAGCTAGAGCCAGGGGTCTGTCCATAAAGCGTCTGGCGATAAATCTGACATTCATGTTCTAGAGATTGATTATAGTTATTATTTCACACAGAAAGAAACTTTTCATTTGCTACACTCCTCAGTGCAAGTCAACAGTCATTGCACAACCTACAGTCATTAGTGCCATTAAAGTGAGCTGCTTAGGGCAGAAAGTCCCAAAAGAGTATGAGTCTTACAACATGCAGATTTGAAGGCAGGACTAGGGGAGGGGAGAAGAAGCCGGGTAAGGCACAAATCAGGTGTGTCTGTCTCTGTTACTTCAGTGGCAGACACCTGAAGTGTTTACCAAAGGTCAGTAGGAAGTCTGATGTAGCGGAAAGTTGGGGCACTTCTTTTCCTTCAGGATGTTATAATGGAGAAATAGACCATGGGGGGTCAAAGAGCAGATTTTATTAACTTTGAAGGTTAACGGAACTTAAAATTCTGGGTCAAATTTAAACTTTCTTTTTTAAAGTTTTAACAGCAATTAGATTGTAAAAGTAATACAAGTTCATGTTAAAAATTCAAGTACAGAGAGAGGGGAATAAGGTAAACAGCAAAAAGTACTTTTCAACCATCTTCTTTCACTCATATGTGCATTCCACAATTTTCTATGTGCTTATTAGCACAAAGGTATATGTATATACCTTAAAAAACACAAGGGATCATTAAACACACATGTTCGGCAGTTTGCTCTTTTCTATCTTTAGTGAAAGTACGCTGAGATGGCTTATGCTTTTCTTTAACAGCTGGATAGTATGCCACCATACTGACCCACAGATTCAAATATGACATGCCATATAGCACTTCATCTACTTAAGTGCATCAACCCCCATTAACTCGAGGCACTGCATGAGATCTGATGACACAGGACAGACTGGGTTACTGCTCTAAAGATGTCTGAAAAGTTAGTGCCTTTGAGAAATTACACAGAAAACTTACAAATAATCATTCAATGTGTAGCTTCTTTTTATATAAGGGTTTGCCACCTGGCCTCACTCTACCTTTCAATCTTAGTACGTACTATGCTGCTTTAGGGTCCTGTTACAGGAGACCACTCACTGCTTCCCGAACAAGCTGTGCACTGTCACATCTCTGTCTTTATTCATGTGGTTTTCGTGCCAAGTCTGCCCCTTCTTTGCCAGGCAAAAATTTTCCTCATGTTTCCAGGATCTGATGACAATTCGCAAACCTCTCTCTTCTCTCATAGAGCTCTTCTCTCCATAGGAAAAGGGTTTGCAAGGCTGTTGTTTATACAGCTAGGAGTAATGTTTAGAATATACTATAGCTGTTTTTTGTTTTTCTAAAAATTTGCCTCCTGGACTAAACTGCAAGCACCTGAAGGGCAGGTGATGATGATTTAGTCATTTTTAGGTCTAGTGACTAAAATGTACCTAGCCAGGAATTATCGAACCATGTTTGTGAAATTTCATTATCACTGAGAGGGATGAAGGTGAGGTTCCAGGCATCAACAAAAAACCCCTCTGCAACAGGAAGCTAAACAACAAAACAAACAAGCAAGCAGAATAAAAACAAGACACTGAAATAGAGAACAGAGGGACAGTGACCAGAGGGGAGAGGGAAGGGAATTTAAGGGGAAAAAAAGGGGGGGAATTGGAGGAACAAATAGGAAGGACACAGGGACGAGAACTAAGGGGGGTAGAAATGGGAGGGAGGTGAGGAGCAGGGGGGGGTGCTGGGATGGGAGAAATACACAAAAAACTGTACTTGAAAAATAACTAAATTAAAAAAATGTACAGGGAGGGGATAAGCCAGTGGAAAGATGTTAAAGATAATAAAAATATTTTAACAACAACAAAAAAACCCTCTGTAAATATTCTGCTGACTTTCGAGACTGCAGCAAGCACTTAAGATAGAACAGGTTAGGTTTCCTTCTCTTCAAGATAAGGATTATCATCTTTGTCACTCAATAATGCCTAGATCAGCAGTTCTTGATACTGGCTGCACACATTAGACTTAGTTGGAGCTTTATAAAAATACAGGTAGTTGGCCTCAATCCCAGACCCAGCAGGCAACTTATGTGACACACAAACTTTTAAAAAGCTCCACAAGTGATTCCAATACACAGCCAGGGTTAAGAACCATTGGCCTTGTCAGATCTCTGGCTGAAACAGTGAAAGAATAGTAAGTCACAGAGAGGTACTGGCTGGGAAAAATAGGGCAGAGAGGAAGGGGGCTGTGTCTTGGGATTTAAAGCCTTCCAGCTGGTGTGCTAAAAGAGCCAGAAGAGAAGATACGCAATCCAGGACAGTCAGGAAAGTTGGGGTGGCCATTAGAAGATTGGGAAAACAGAGGAACATAATTTTCAAAATGGTGGTGTGATTAGCAGTAGCCAATCTGTGGCTGGATGGTGGCTTTCAGGACTGAATGGTCAGTGTGCTAGCCTCTGGCACTCACATCAGGTTGTCACTCAGGTGTGCTATTCAGAATAACTCCAGCACCACTCAGAAATGGAGAAATCTAGGTATAACCCCTAGATTGGTCTTATTAGAACCTAGCTTTGCTGTGTTGGGTTCTAAAGAAAGTAGTACTGTAGAGTGCTCCCAAACACACTCTAGAATCAGACTACAAGGGTTTAACTCTGGTTCTACTTCAACTTCACAGCTGTATACTCTTAGGTAAGTCCAACTTCCTTGAGCTTCAGTTTGTTATTTGGAGAATTAACTGAGATTATCCAAGTAGGTCCTTAAAACAATTATATAATACTCAATAATGGCTATATGTTGTTGTTGTTATTATTATGATACAAATTCGGTCAATATGTGGAACTTCTTTTGGGACTTGGATTCCAAAATTAAGAATAATTAATGACATATTAAAAATAAAGTTAGAAGCAACACCCTTCTCATCAAAAATCTTAAAATCGTTATAGCTGTTGACATAGAAAACTCACCTCTGGAAATCTATGTTAATGGAAGGGGGGACCTTAAATTCATAAAACAATTTTCACAGAGTATTGGAAGCAAATTGTCCAACTATACAAGAACAGCCAGGTAAATAATGCACCACTAACTCAGTGGACTATTTTACATTTTCTAAAAAGATAACATAGAAGGTGCTTAGAATATCATGTTCGGTGAAAAAAATCCCTAAGTAATTAAAATGTATATACAATATAACTCTGACTCTGTTTAGAATATAAAGGAGAAAAATCTGAAAAAACACTCAAAATGTTAAAATTCTCCATGAGTAGCCCTGCTGGTGTAGCTCAGTGGATTGAGCACGGGCCTGCGAACCAGACAATCGCGGTTTGATTCCCAGTCAGGGCACATGACAGGGTTGCAGGCAGGTTCCCTGCAGGCCAGTTCCCAGAAGGGGACGCACGAAAGGCAACCACACATTGATGTTTCTCACCCTCTCTCCTTCCCTTCCCCTCTAAAGATAAATAAATAAAATCTTAAAAAAAAAAAAATTCTCCATGAGTAAAAATACTGATGGAGGATTTCCACCAAGATGGAGGCGTAGGTGGAAACACTGCTTCCTCGCACAACCAAATCTAAAAACAATAAAGTTTTAACAACAATAAACACAACCAAACCACACAGAAAATCGAACAATACGAAGTCCGAAAACAACAAACCACTCAGCTAAACCCGTGAGGGGCGAAGCCAGCAGCAGAGCAGGTCGGGCAAAAAAGATCCCCTGATGCGGGCAGTGCGCAGGCAGCTGAGGGCATGGATCCCAGGTGTGGGGTAGCTAAGGGCAGACCCAGGGAAGACGTGGTGCAGCTGGCTGTCTGGTCGGTTGCGCATTTGCACGCAGATAAACCAGTGAAGAGGTGAGCATTGAGACAGATCTCGCAGGCCCCTGCAGTGCAGGGCGGCGGGCTTGTACATTTGCGCTCAGATAAACGGGCGAGGGCGAGTGGTGAGGCGGGTGAGGCCTACCCCGCGAGCACCGCCACTGCTCCCTCTCTGAACCCGCCCCCACATACAGCATCACAAACCCGCGACCTGGGTGGCCCCACCCTGGTGAACACCTAAGGCTCTGCTCCTCTTACGTAACAGGCAAGAACAGCTCAAAACATGGCTCAAGAACAACTCAGAGCCCCAGAGCCAATAAATCTAAGTGATGAAGAAATATCCATACTTTCAGATGCACAGTTCAAAACACATGATCAGGATGCTCACAGAACTGGTTGATTTTAGCCACAAATTAAGAGAAACATATGAAGGCTAGACTAATTGAAATGAATGGAAATGCACAGGAAACCAATAGTAATGGAAAGGAAACTTGGACTCAAATCAAGGGAATAGACCAGAAGGAAGGAAAAAATGACCAAACAGAAAAGAATGAAGAAACAAGAATTCAAAAAAAATGAGTAGGAACCTCCAGGACATCTTTAAATGTTCCAACATCCGAATTATAGGGTTACCAGAAGTGGAAGAGGAACAGCCACGAGTGGAAACCTTATTTGAACAAATAATAAAAGAGAACTTCCCCATTCTGGCAAAGGAAATAGACTTCCAGGAAGCTCAGAGTCCCAAAGAGGTTGGATCCAAGAAGGAACACACCAAGGCACATCATCATTACATTAGCCAAGATTAAAATGAAGGAGAGAATCCTAGAAGCAGCAAGAGATAAGGGGACAGTCACCTACAAAGGAGTTCCCATCAGACTGTCAGCGGATTTCTCAAAAGAGACCTTATGGGCAAGAAGGGGCTGGAAAGAAGTATTCCAAGTCATGAAATCCAAAGACCTACATTCAAGATTGCTCTATCCCGCAAAGCTTTCATTTAGAATGGAAGGGCAGATAAAGTGCTTCTCAGATAAGATCAAATTCCAGGAGTTCATCATCATCAAGCCCTTATTATATAAAATGTTAAAGGGACTTACCTAAGAAAAAGAAGATAAAAAAGATGAACAGTGAAAGGACAGCAAACTCACAGTTATTAACAACCACACCTAAAACAAAAGCAAATTAAAAGGACAACTAGAGCCCTGGCTGGTGTAGCTCAGTGGATTGAGCGCGGGCCTGCGAATCAAAGGATCGTGGTTCGATTCCCAGTCAGGGCATATGCCTGGGTTGCAGGCTGGTTCCCTGCAGGCCAATTCCCAGCAGGGGACGCAAAAAGGCAACCATACATTGATATTTCTCTCCCTCTCTCCTGCCCTTCCCCTCGAAAGATAAATAAATAAAATCTTTAAAAAAAAAAAAAGGACAACTAGATCAGGAGTGAACCATAGAAATGAAGATCACGTGTAGGGTTAGCAATAGGGGAGTGGGAGCAGAAGGTACAGAAAATAAGTAGCATAGACAGCAGATAGAAAATAGATAGGGGGGAGGGTAAGAATAGTAGGGGAAATATAGAATCTAAAGAACCTGAGACACATGTTCATGAACTAAAGGGGGGTATGGTGGGGGAGTGGTGTGCAGGGTGGAGGGGAACGGTGAGGGGAAAATTGAACAAATGTAATGGCATACAATAAAGTAAAAATATATATTAAAAAAATATTGATGGATTTCCCCCCTCATATGATTCTTCTCTTTTATGTTTTCTAAGATTAGGGAAAGAAAAGTACATATAAAGACAAGGCAGCAGACAGAAATCCCATGTTCATGGATCAGAAGACTTAACATTGGTAACAGGACAATACTACCAAAACTGGTATGCAGATTCAATGTAATACCTATCAAAATCCCAGAGACTTTTTGCAAAAATTGACAAAATGGTAAAAATTTATATAGAAATAAGAGAGACCCAAAATAGTGAAAGCAATCTTTAAAAAAAGAGAGAAAGAAAATTGGAGACTCAGACTTTCCAATTTCAAAACCTACCACAAAGCTACAGTAATCAAAACAATGTGTTACCTGCATAACGACAGACATATACAATAGATCAATGGAATAGAATTGAGAGCCCAGAAATAACAGCACATAAACCCTTACATTTATAGTCATGTGATTTTCACAAGGAAGCCAAAACAATTCAATAGGTTAAAGAACAGACTCTTGAGCAAATGATAGTGAAAAAAAGCTAGAATATATCCAGAATGCAAAGGATTAATTTGGATCCTTGTCTCATAGTGTACACAAAAATAAACACAAAATGGATACAGCCCTAAAATACAACAACTCTTAGCTAGAAGAAAAACAAAGGAGTAAATCTTTGTGAACTTGGGTTAGGCAATGGTTTCTTAGACACACCACCAAAAACAGAAAAGACAATAAAAAAGAGATAAACTGTACTTCATGAAAATTAGAAAATTTTGTGTCAAAGGAGAACACCAAGAAAATGAAAGATAACTTACAGAATAAGAAAAGCACATTTGCAAGTCACTATATGACAAGGGACTTATCTCCAGAATAGATAAAGAATGTTTACAACCTAACAATAAAAAGACAAATAACCCAGTTAAAATATGGGCAAAGAATCTGCACAGGTACTTCTTGAAGGAAAATACACAAATGACCAATAAGCACAGGAAAGGATACTCATCATCATTAGCCATCAGGGAAAAATCCAAACCAAAACTACAACAAGATAGCACTTGACGCTCACAAGGATGGTTAAAATAAAAAAGAAGAATAACAAATGTTCATAAGGATAAGGAGATATTGGAACCCTCATTTTAGGTGTTAAAAATACTGCCTAGCTCTGAATATATTAAAGATCACTGAACTGTATACTTTAAATAGGTGTATTTACGGTACATTCATACAGGGTGGGGCAAAAGTACGTTTACAGTTGTTCATATGGAATAAAAGACAATAATTAATAAAGAATAGAAGAATAAGCTCTGTGTTTTGTATACTTACAACTGTAAGCTACTTTTGTCTACCCTGTACTGCCAGGCCTGCTGCTGCTTCAGGGTCTTTGCATTTGCTCTTTTGTCTTCCAGAACATCCACGTGGTTCACTACTTCACTTTCTTTACCCAGACATCTTTTCATTGAAGCATCCCTGTGCACCTCATTTATAATTTTTTCTAATAGCACACTTTGCCAAGCTCCCCCCTTCCCCTTTTCCTAAGCAATCCTGTTATCTGGCATAGTACATATTTGTTTTAATATGACTTTAATTTGTTTACTGTTTCTCATGCTAACATGTAGCCTTCATTTATATCTTTGGAATTCTTGATTCTTTTGTTCATTGTTGAATTCCCAGCAACTTAGAGCAGTGCCTAGCACATAGTAGGCATTCAATAAATATTTTACAAATAAAACCACCAGTGCATTTAAGTATCTTGTGTAGATGACAAACACAGTAGAATTCAGAAAGTTTTTACTGAAAAGAAAAAAATGTCAAGATATTTTTCTTTAAAACTGTACCAACACAGCCCTGGGTGTTGTGGTTCAGTGGACTGAGCACTGGCCTGTGAGCTGAAAGGTCACTGGTTTGATCCCCAGTCAGGGCACATGCATGAGTTGTGGGCCAGATCCCTGGTTAGGGGTGTGTGAGAGGCAGCCAACTGATGTTTCTCTCTCACATTGATGTTTTCCTCCTTCTCTTTCTCCCTCCCTCCCTCTCCCTGAAAATATATAAATAAAATCTTTAAAAAATATATAGCAACACAACAGCAGGTCTTAGCTTATCACTCTGTACAGCAGAACTAAGCCAATCAAAACATAAAAAAAGTAGAAGAATGTATGGGATCCTTACCTAGGTCAGCTCTTGCCTCTTTTTTCTTCTGAGAGGCCCAACCCACTACGGAGAGCTTATCTGTTGACTTCTCCTCCAAACCTCTATTCAAGCGCCAGATTTTCAGTGTATTGTCATCAGAGCAGGTAGCAATCTAATGAGAACCAGAAAGGGAGTTAAGTTTTAATCAAACATTTGTGACAAAGTAAAAAGTACATGTGTCTTAAGGGCTCATGACTGGAAAATTATTTTGCTTGATATAACAGGATATAGAAAACGGCATCTGAAAGATCATATATTTCTATCCCTTGTTCTTAGGAATCATTGCAAATTTCCAAAGTGAATTCTCTAGTTTCTTTTTGATATACATCCTTCTGGTATGTCTTTTGTTAGCAATCATCTCTTATTAACCTAAAGCTCTACTACAAACCATGTTCATTTCATTTTACTCAATAAGTTGGGCAAGTCATTATCTTTATCATCTTCTATGTAACTATGAAATATTTCATTAAGAAACCCTTTTTGCTTTCTCCTTCTCTTAGATCATCAATCCGTGTATGCCACTGACATTCAATTTCTAAAACTTTCTTCTGAATTCTGCATGTTCTGGCTTACTGCTGAAGTAATGGGATCAGTTCCAAGATCAGACTTAGTCCATGACTCTAGTAGGCTATGACAAGCAGAATGAAACCAATCCCGAGACTTTTTCCCCCCAGATAGGTAAAGGAGCAATATGGTAAAACAAGTTCACTAAGCTGGAAGTTAAAAATAACCTTTGCCCCTTTAAAAATATGTGACCATTCCTGATCTTGGTCCCAAGCCTTTTATGGCAGAGAAAGTCCAGCTTGAAGGGCTTGTGGCAAATGGCCACTGGTACCAGAGCTATTTCCCAGCATTTGTTTATATAATTTCTCTATTTCAGTCACTAAAGAGATAGAAAAAAAACCCCCCACACACGTTCTCTTAAATCTTGGCCCCCAAGAGACTAGGAGCTTTTTCCTTTCCTTACTGGGAGGCCAAAAGAAGACACGTACTTAACTGCTCAACGAAAAATGCCTGGAATCCCCAGTTACTCTAGAGTCTGTAGTAACAGGAGTTATTATTTATAGAGCACCTGTGTCTGACAATTTGCATTCTTTATCTTATTTAATTCTCACAGTATAAAAATCCTTGTACTTAAATAATCTCATCTACAAAATAGGAACAAAGTTACTTGTCCAAGCTCACCATAATTGGGTGGCATATCTAATAAATCCAAATTTTTCCAATTTCCAAGGCTAGATCTTTTTTTTAAACCATATTTTACCTTCCTAACTCTAAGCTAGGGACAAAATTATTTCAAAGAACTTTTTAAAAAGGTGGTCATTAGATTAGTATTGGAAAACAGCCCTGCCATTTCTTTCTGTGCACAGAGATAAGGGCAACATATGATGGCTGCAAAGAGATGACATAATTAACTGGATAATTAAAGAAACCATCATAGTAAGTTCTATGATGATACAGAACTTCATGTTAAAAGGAGATATTTCACTGTAAATAACATGAAATCTCAGAGGAAAAAAGTGTCACTAGTATAATGTCAATGTAATTATTAGTAATTAAAGCAATGACTTAAAAAAAGAAAGTCTACATGAAGCTGACCACAGAAATCATTAGACAGGGCTAGACGCCAGAGTAGACGAGACCACGAGAAGTTTCTGGAACATAACAGATGGGAACAATAGGCAACAAAACCTTGAAAGGTCAAAATGAAGAGAAAGATGGCTCTCTACATAATTGAGATTTTGTATAAATGCAGAATAACCCAAAGACCAGAGGTAGCAGGAGCTGGGAGAGAATAGAACTTGGGCTAATGTTATGTGAAACCCCTACCTATACATGTAGGAGTTTATGTTTCTCGCCTTTCTACATTTCAGGTTACTTATTTGTCTTCACTACTGAAACACTTTTTTTTTAAGTGACGATATTTTCTTCTTTCCAGAGCATCTAAAACACTTTGGAACTACTTCTTGTGTAGTTTAGCCACAGATAACCTAACATAGTAGTACTTCACACTAAGCATTTTTTAGGCATGCGAAAATCCAAGCGGGACTGTGAAGTACAATCAAGATGTTACCTTCAATACACCACATTTATAACACATAGAAAATTAAAAAGAGAAGATCTTACCTTAGATTTTCTTTTACCTTAGAGTTTAAGATTGTTTTAATTAGGTTAGAAACTTAATTCTGTTTATGAAAAGAATGACTCTAGGAAACCAAGAAATCAATCCTTTACCTTACTGCATAATACAATTTCTCTGTTGTTAGAGAAAGGTAGGAAAACCCACAGATCTATGATCTACTTTTTAAACCAACTATGGGTATTTGTTTACAAACCTTTGTGAAATCTGACGGACACCAGCACACAGATGTGACCTCTTGAGAATGACCCAGGAGCACAGTTGGAGGATGCCAGGGCGTGGACACCTTTGTGCACCAACAAACAAACAAACAAAGTCAGCAGAGTTGTGTTAGTTCTCCCAGCTAAAGGCTTTGAATCTCTTCATATTCATGTCTTAGAGATCTTTAGGAATGTTACGAAAGGCCCCTGTGTATGCCTACTTATATTAGAAAAAGAGTCCCAATGAGTAATAAAAATATTTTTGTCATCAATCTGAGAAAACAGGAAAGAACTAAAGTAAGTAAATAATGAGCTTAGATTCTAGTTTAGGTCTTATTTCAAATCTGGGCCATCTAGGTATACATATTTTGACTAAAATTCAAGATTGGTGTTGTCCCTCACCTTTTAGCTGGTAAACTTTATGGAAGGATGAGGTTCACCTGCTAGGTAGTACAGTTCAAGTAGAAGCCCGTTTTTACATTGCCTAGACATTTTCAGATCTTCTCTAGCCGCCTACCTTCAGGGACACAACATGAAGGTACCTAACATGCTATCATCATTCTTGGGACAAGAAGATAAGTGTTTCTTCCAAAAGAAGACTCACTAACTTTTATCAAAGTCCAAAGTTATATACCCCCTCATTTTAGAGGATATAAACTATATTTTATATGACAATATCCTTTTTGGAAGAAAAATTCCTCTAAAATTTTGTTTCAGTTAATTTGCTTAAAGAAGACTTGAATTTTCAAATAAGTGTTGCCACATTTTAAGGTATGAAAAAGAAGGGTCATATTGTGAAGTATTGCACACGTGACTAAAATCATATTTTCCCCCTCATTGGATGCCGCTAATAATATGCATTTGACAGCTGTCTGATTCAAGAGTCGCCAATCCCTCTCAGAGGCCCTGGGAATTAATCAGCACAATATGGAGTACAAACTCACATAACTATTATTAGTATGTGTTTGAAAAGGAGAAATTATTCTCTTCATTTTCTGAGGCTCTGAATCATTGCTCATTTATATAAAGAAAGTGGAGGCGACTCCGGAAAGAATATTTGTATGACTAAGTAAACTTAATAGATTCCTCAAAGTGTAGCTAAGAGATTTGACACAATGAATCATAAGGTTATCCAACTTATTACTACTTTTCTCTCTTGGGTTAAATGGCACATATATAATGATTCAAAAAGCAAAAAGACAAAAACCAGAGTCTAATTTAATTTGCCTTGCTGCGTGAATTAAAGTTTAACAGATAGGAAAGCTTTTTCTGAGTACTATCTACAGGTATTTCACTTACTGCCTACTCCTACCCTGTCACAGAGAACAATGACTTATTCTCCTTTGAGTTAGCATATTTTAAAAAAGACTTTCAAGATAATCTTTAACTATCTCAATAGCCATAGAAATTCTCCTTCCTCCTCTACTAATGGGCCCCAGCCCATTAAGTTTCTAATTAACAAAGACCCAAGCAGGTCTGGTAGCAACAAGTTAAAAGGAAAAGGAAATCCTCATGTCCTCTTGGCCCTCCCTCGTAGAAAGAAGTACATTATTCTACTCCACTCGTTTACTCTGCTGTTGCCTCTAGATTTTCATGTCATGATACTGCCCCTTGGTCAGTTTCCAGATTTTACAATACCTTGGAGAACCTAAATGTATACTCAAAAATCAAAATAAATTTCAAGACAACCAAACATCTACCAGAATGTATGAACATCATTGCATTTATCTACAGGATCTAAGAGCAAAAAACAAAGGACAAGACCCCTTAAAAAACTTTTTATACAACTTGACAATAACATAGGAATAATAAAATGACATTAAAAATTAGCATGTCTTGAATAATTACCATGATCCGGGCACTTGACATAGTATTAAAAGTGAAGGGAAGATTCCTCAAAAAGTTAAACATAGAATTAATTTCCATACGACCCAGAAATTCTAGTCTTAGGTATAGTTTCCCAGGAGAAGTGAAAACATGTCCAAACAAAAACTTGTACATAAATGTTCAACTTTTTAGTAGTTTTATTAAAAAAAGCTAAAGACTGGAATAATCCCAATATCCACCAACTTATGAATGGATAAATAAAATGTGGACTACACAGAACATACAGTGAAATGTTCAGCCATAAAACAGAATGAAGTACAGATACATGCAACAACAATAACCTTAAAAACATGGTAAGTGAAAGAACTCAGACATAAAAAATCACATATTACATAATTCCATTTATATGAAATGTCCAGAATAGGCAAATCCATAGAAACAGAACATAGGTTAGTGGTTGCCAAGGGCCGAGGAAAATGGAGAGTGAGTTGTAAAGGGTACAGAGTTTCTTTCTGGAGCAATAAAAATGTTTGGAAATGACATGGTGGTGATAAATACATAATATTGTGATTATACTTAAAATCACTGAAGTGTACAAATTAAAATAACTAAAATGGTGAATTTCATCTTATATAAATTCTACCTAAGTAAAAAAAAAAGTGGAGGGAGGAGCATGTTATAAAGCTGAAATGAGAACTAATGTCCAATAAATATTTATGAATGCAGATTGTGACTATCCTAGTATGATACAGTTATACTTAACTTAATGACTGCTTCCAGGAAGATTACTTTCCTCTAATGAAACTCACGTGGCTTTTAAATCATTTGTATTCAGATAAATTTTTACTTATGCTCATTATTGCTATAAAAAACATTGCCATAGTTACATAATTAAATTTTTTTAAAAAGCCTCCCTCTACTTTTAAGAAGGAAGAGGAGACTATTAAGTCCAAGAGACATTTACATCTCTGCATTCTGGAAATGGTCAAAACACAGAAAATTGTCCTCTCTTACATATTCCACTTTGTTACAAAGACTTTAATTCAAGGCACAAGAATGCCAAAGTCGAACTCCCAGAACTACAAAGGTACCTCTCTAGTAGTAACTGGCTCTATCCTACAGACCTCATCAAACATTTTATATGTTTAAACATACTAAAGAGATCAGTACCTTTCCTCAAAAAAATGTCCTTACTCGGTCCAGTAAGAAATCGAATCTAATCTTTATTTCTGCCATGAGATCATTTACACTTCCTAAAGTGTCAGGCTCAGTGCTTTGCCAGTCGGTGGTAGAATGACTATGCCAAGTCAGTTTATTTATAACCACTTCAGTACTATTCAGTGGCTCTGTTAGAAGTGAACCAGGGAAGGGGGGAGTATGGGTGAGGGTGTCACAAGGGGTAGAAAATTTAAAAGAAAAAATTACAACATTAAACCTTTTTATTTTTAAGTCTTTGACATCAGAATCAGTCTATATTATATTTCCCCTTTTGCTGGGCAGTGGTGAGAATTAAAAAGGCATTCTCTTGTGTCTCAAGATCCAGAACTTCCTTCTTTCACTCATGTCTTCTTATACCCATGAACTTTTAAGTGTGGGGAAAATACCAAAACTTGAGAGAATTCTGACTTTTTGGAAATGCAGCAGAGTTATAACACAACTTAGCAGGATGGATATTCAGCTTGTGTAAAAAAAAATTTAAAGGCCCAACCCCCTTGTGTTATCATGGAAAAGAGAAACTGAGCCACCTCACTAGGCTAATTCAATTTTAGGAGCAGTAAGCTTGCCAGGATCTCAAATATCAGAGTCTGCACGCTGAGTTATGTGTGGACGGGCAGGAGAACATCCTGTCTGACCCACGTCATTCAGCACTAACACATGACCCAGCCTAGAATTCAGAAAGGGTCACCCATGTATGTGACAGCCACTAATTAGGTACCTGAAGATGGGTTACTAACAACTGCTGAGTATCTTTACTTCATATCCTCAGGGAGTATCCCTCAACCCTCATTCCCTGAAACCACCAAAAAAAGATCTTTGTACTAGCAAACAAGGCTAGGGAGGAACTTTGTAAGAACTGGCAATAAAACTGTATCTATGTCTTAATGTATATTATTAAGAAATTGATTTAAAATAATTTTTTAAAAGATCAGGGCATAAGTATTTTTGGACAATCCTTTATTATGCTTTTTGATATATCTGATTTTTTTAAGAAGAAAGAAACTTAAAAAGATATAAGACCAAATTTGAAACTCATAATTTAAAATGTAAGAGAAACATTAGTGCTAGTGACACATATTGTTAAAAGTTTAAAGCTCAAATCAGGAGAATCTTATAGACAAGAAACTAGGTGAAAACTTCTCACAAGATGGGAGTCTAAAATATGTTTTATAAGCAAATTTTCATTTAAAAATACAAATAAAAAATATGTTGTAGAAAAAGAGGCAAAGCCAAACACAAAAGCATCTTGGATAGAATAATATCTCCACCTTGTGACCATCTAGGATAGTGTTACTAAAAGCTATTAATAAGGTAGTGTTGCCTTTTTGCAACTGTAGGTATATAGAGAAATGATTTTTACTACTTCCCTCAGGACCATATAAAATTAAGCTGAAGAATTATGCTTCATAGCCGAGAAGGGTGTACCCTTGTCCTAAGACAACACAGTCTTCCTAGAAGTTGGCAGGACTAAAAATGATATAATTTCTCTTAAGAGATTTGATAATATGGAACCTCTGACTCTAAAATCCAGAATGGAGACAGACCGAAGATGGCAGAGAAGTAAGTGGAAACTATACTAACCTCTTCCCAGGACCAATTTGGAATTACAACTAAATTGCAGAGCAATCATCCTGAATAAGCAACTAAACACTAGCTAGAGAGAAGCCTTATAACCTTGGATAGACAGAAGAAACCACTTCACCATAATGTGACTGATAGGGAGTGAGGAGATGCTAGAGGGCTGGCTGGGCTCCCATGGGCTGCAGCTGAAGTTCTGGAGGGATATTTCAGTGGCTGGGGGGTTCCCCCTGAGAAGTGTGGGATCTAAACCCTAAGCTGGGCTCCCCAGACTACAGCACCGGAGCTAGAAAGGAAGCTGGATAACATCCAACTGTGAAAAGCAGCAGGGTTTCTGTCTGCCAAGGAGAGACTCCTGGAGATGCAGAGAGCCTCTTAAAGAACACACAAAATTTCGTTTGTAGCCACTTAACCTGGGCTCTGACAGAGGGAGGGCAGACTGGATTAAAAACACTTGAGGAGA